TACAGAAGACCAACCCAGATACAAAACCCCCGAGGGTAGTTCAGCGGTGAATCCTTCCAGCCCAGGTATCCCTCCCAAACCTTGGTAGATCCATGGGACACATGGACCTCGCTGCAATAGTATCTCCTGCCCCACAGCAACTCATTGACAAGCTTTGAAAGATCAGATGAGGGAGCGATAGTGGCATTGGGCTGCTGGAGAACCTCCTGCCGAGGAGTGTCCAAGGAGGGGGCTTGAGTGATGGCATGCTTGAAAAGGCTGTAGATTGCCAGGGCTAGTCACATCAACAAATCCACAGGAAAAATGTAGAGCCTCAGCAAAAAGACACAGTGCAAACCTCAAAACCCTGGCCATAGCCAACAGGTGTTGCTTGAGCTCTCAAGCAAGGATGGAAGAAACTTCTTCACGAATGATAAACAATGATCGCAGGAGCCTTCTGCACAGAGCTGACCTGCAGAGAAATCTGCAAGTAACTTGTCAAAAAAGTAAGTGGTGTGGTAGTCTGCAGCAAAGTGGCTGAGTTTTCCCAAGGTGCTCATATAGTGGATCATACCCTGAAGCCATGCGACCATCTCAGTAGAGAGAAACAGTGAATATCTGCTTGTTCTTCAATTATACAAGATTTTGGTACATTAGTTATGAGCTGTTGGATTTGACTCTTCACTGATCTGGTCCAGCCCTCACTAAGATTTATATAAAAGTAAAGAAGAGAATGATATCTCCCCTTCGAAAACAACACTCATGTAAGGATTAGAGGAAGGCAAGATGTCTTTTTTCAGCAAGGAATTAAGATAGTAAGAAAAGCATCGCAGTGTGCCGTGTAGATTTACAGCAGGGTTTTTCAATTTAATTTGTCATTGCCAAATACATTACGTTGGGATTAAACTGTACAGGTTATTAAATACTGATTACAAGAAGACAGTGCACAGTGGCAGGCAAATGACTTCGAAGTTACTGAAATTAAGGCTTTGAAAATGTTTTAAGGGAATTAATGTTTAATTAATGATTTTGATCTACAAGGCGTTCCAGTAAGCTTCAGTAAGAGATTACACAAACCTGTGAGACATTCATAAGAAGAAAGGATACTTGATGTAAGTATTTTTTTTAATTAATCCTGCATTGGAAGACCACCACGAGAGAAGTTAGGGCTTGGTGCACAATAAAAGGACCGTTCCAGTTAGCAGGCACTTTAGCGTCTGTGATTTTTTTGCATGATCAAATTCGTGTGCACAGATTTTTAACAATACAGCATGAGATGAACTTTGAATTTGCGCGATTAAGAACATTCCTAATTCAACACCCCAAGTGAACTTGGATATCAAAGTGTAGGGAGGTTTACAGGTATGGTTGGCTTAATAGTCACTTTTTTCTTCCACCAAATTTCATCTTTCTGCTACTGACTCCCAGAAACAACATAAATCATCAGCAGCATTTAACTTTCCATCATGATTGATGATTTATGTTAGAAAACTTATCTTACACTAAGCCATTCTTGTACAAAGTCTTTTTTTTTTTCACTAAAAGAAGTAGTTTATGTAATTTCTTATAGTCAAACCCAAGTCACTGATGCTTTACTGCCTTGCTCACTACATCTACCTTGATTATCTTCACATTATTTTCACAAGGCTGTAAGTGTAATTCGGGAAGTTTAAAAGATGTTTGTGTCAAAAGCTGTAAAAACACAAACAGGAAAGTCTACTGAACTGAAAACAAATATCTGGTATCAGATATTTTTTAAGTTCATCTTCAAGCTGAAACGCATCACCTTTTTGCAGATGTACTGAGTAAAATAAAACTGCAAAGAAGTTTTGGAGTATTCACAAGACTTCATAAATTTGAAAAATCACTTTAAACATGAGGACTGCTTTCCTTTTCCTCTTTCCTGGTACAGCTGGACCAAAACCAACGTCACTACACAATTTTTGGTTAAATCCACCTGGTTACAGAAAGAATCTGGCTTTATGTTTAAAAGAGATCAATACTTGTTACAGCTTACTATTACTCATTATAGCTTGTTTTTACCACTGGTTATAATATGCTTGTTTTCTCCTTATCATTTTGCCTGTAATCATTTTGTTTGATACACAGAGCACACATCCTCTATGCTGCCTGCTTTATTTTCATCTATGTCACATTTCTCAGAACAGTAATTATGTCAGATCATAAATCCCATTCTACAGTGACAATAATAAAAACCTGAAAGACAGTAACAGTTGCTTTATAACGTGGAACAAGGTGATTCACTTTAAATAAACACTTAATTTCTTTCTACTTAGTTTAATTAATTCACCTTAATTATTTAACCTATTAACCAACGGCTAATTAAATTGAATCTGAAGGACTCTCTTACTATATTTACATTGCTTATTTTTTTGGAACGGGACTAGTGTTTCATTACCTCTCTTGCTCATTAATTTTAGTGCTGCTGTCTCTTGCTTGAAACGTGTCTTTTCTCCAGGGCCAAGCCAACCCATTATTCAGCGCTCCTGGTACATCGGTTGTGCGTTACCCACTGCGCGCGGTCAAAGAGGCGACGCCGGGGTTTGCGCGACGGGGTTCGACTGTATAGTCTCACCGTGGTTAGCATCGGGTGATAGGACCCGCTGTGGGAACGCACCCTAAATAGCCACAACCATCATGCCTTGGGCTTTAAAAGGACACTTCCTTCCACCCGCTTTGTATATCTTTTTTTTCCCAATGCCATCTTCTAAAAATATGTCCCTGCTCTTATTCCCAAGCTGCAAGGCAGCCAAGTGGGGTAGAGGTGGCAGCCCTGTTTCTAAAAGCTTCTTAAGGTTCTTTTGGAGACCACCTTGAAAAATGGAAGTCCAAAGCAAATGCCACATTGCAAACCACCCAAGGTTTTAAAATCAAATTCAACAAACTCAAGCCCAAGAGCTGCTGGGAGCAGCCTGCCAGTGTGCCCACAGCTGAACTGCTCTCCTCAGGGAAGTCACGGATACCCGCCCTAATCTGAAGGTCTACCACGGCATGCTCGTGGCTCGGCAGCTAAGCATCAGTGTAAGCAGGCCGTGTTGGTGACAGGGAAGAGCCATGGTATGCCAAAGCCATGCCAGGAGGGAATGGACTCCCTGCACCACATCTAAAAGTGTCCCACATACGCTGGCAGATGTAGATGTGGGGGGACATCACAGGTTAGAGAGCCTGGCAGCCTCTGAGGGAAAAGGACCAGACCTTTCTTAAGAGACCCTTAACTCAAAAATACTTCTACTGACCCTTAAAATCTGAGCTGGGGGAATGTGCACGAAGGAAACCTGCACAAAGCCTCCAGAACTGGTTCAGACCCCAAATTTTCTCCAGCACTTCTGATATTTTAATTCCATCTCTGCAGTACAATAAAGCCTGCACCCATAACCCACGACACACTTCAGGTCCCACCCCAGCAGATACATCTGTTGCAAAAGCACCCACCAGTTCTACCTGCATCCCAAGCACTGGGAGAAGTTCAAGAATGAGACCTGCCACCTTCAGGCTTAGATTTAACAAAGCCCCGACTAAGCACAAAGCTGAATGAGGTCACATCTGGTCCAGGGCCAGAACGTAATGGTGCAGTAATGGTTTTATGGGCTTTTTGAGAAGGAGCTGTTTGATTTCAGAGAGAGAGGAGAGTCAACAGCAACATTTGCTCCTGCTAATCTCATTTCCAGATGCACGCTGAGCGAGAAGGTGCTTGGGCACAAGGCTCTGCTCGATTGCTCTGTTTATCTAGGATTACATTAGGAGCCCCAGACACATCTGAAAACAGCCCATGGCTAGGGTGTTACGAATGGCTTCTGCAGCATCAGGTTTGCAGGACAAGGTACTTCAGTGTTTCCAGCAAATTGTTGGTTGGATGGCAGCCAGTTTGCTCAGTACAATTTCTTCAGAATTAACAGAATAGATGTGCAGGAGGGGAAGATTTGAAGATGTAAAAATAGCTCCTTTTTATAAAAAAGATTCAGATGTGCAAGTTTTAGACATGCAAATTTGAGAGTCATGAAGCAGGCAGCGCAGCTAACAAGTGTTGATTAGATCATCTGGTTAAATACATTATTTTGAATTACCTTAAACAAAAAGAAATCAAATGCAGAAGGGTGAATTTGGCCTGGGTGAAGGGCCCTTGTAAGGGGGAAAACTACAGCAGAAGTTAGTCTGATGACAATCATCTGCCCTGTTGGCCACGAAATAGTTACTTTAAGAACCAAATTACCACCACATCTGGTATAACAGCTCTTTATTTCAGTGTCTACAACACAAAAGAGAGGGCTTGCATTTTGACACCAGACCCATGCAAAGCACCTATACACCGAGAACAAGATATTGAACGAGTGTCTCTCTCCTGCTACATGTGGAAAATTTAGGCAGGAAGACTCAAGTTTTCCTATGCGTTCTGCTCTATCCTTCCACAAATCAACCAGCTGCAAGGGGTGATAATTAACCTTCATTCCAAATCAAATAATTTGCCACTAAACATTATTCCACGCTGCCCTAAGCTGCTCAAATATGCTTCTGTAAACTTCATCAAGGACCCAGTACTGCTCTTGGTTTACAAGGACAAAGTCCCAAACATCTCCAGCTACAGGAGCAGACTTGAATCAGAGGTACTCAATTAATGGAGAGCAGAATTTGGCTCAAAGGATGAATGTCATCTCCATAGAGAGGCCCAGAAAAGGCCCTTAAGAGGGATGTAGAGACCACCCTAGGCTCAGAGAATTGTCATGTGCACAGAGGACAACTAGACATCCTGAACTATTAAAAAACAGTGGTATAGAAAAATAAAAGGCATAAAATACTGGACCAAAAAGGTTCCAAATAAGGCATTAGCAGGTCCCGACTGGATGCGCTTCTGTTATGTGCATCACCCTCCCAGACAGGGTGGTTAGGAACGATGCATTAGGATTGTATTTCTGACCTCAATCACTAAGCACTATGAGCAACCAGAAGGGTTCAAGTTCTGTTTGAAAAAAAGAAAAAAACCCAGAACACAAAACAAAAGAGTATTCTTTTTGGTAAGTATTTCTTAGAAAATAAAATAAAAACGTTAAAGCAATTTGTTTAAATTATTCTTTAAAAAAGACAACATTCCTGTAAAGTAAAAATATATATATAGAAATAGAATATAATTTTTTTTTTTTTTAAAAAAGACATTCAGTATCACATTAGCGGATTCTGATCAACTTCCCATCCGTCTTCTGCGATAACCGCTGCTCGTTAAGGCAAAACGTCAGGTTGGCACCGTTACAACAGCTGAATCAAACTGGCCAAAGGCGAAGCAGAGCAGGCAGCACGCCAGCATCAATGATGCTGCTTCTCCCGCACGCTGACTGAGCCGTCCTCCATGCCAAAGTACACCACCTCTGCCATGTTGATGAAAAGTCCTGTCTCCACCACACCTGCGGAAGAAGAGTTCACATGCCAGTTAATGCCAGAGCCACCCCACAGCTTGAATCCTCGCTCTGACCCGGGTTTTGTTCATTAAAAAAAATCACTAATGCCTCCACCAAAGGTTTGGAGAGGTGTTCAACCTGGGTGATGTTGCATCAGCCACACAGGGAGCCTCTAGGAAGTCTTCTCCATGCAGCCACTCCCAGAGAAAACTCTCCAAAGAGGGAGAAATAACTCCCAAATTCCCCCCGACACTCACACTACCCCAGCCACCACCATCACAATCACGAGCATGGCATTTTCAGCCATTTGTGGCTGAGCAAGAGGGAGCCACATGCAGCCACAGGCTTACTCACTTTGCCTTTAAACACACCTAAAAAAATGATCCTGTTAGAGAACACTTGGGTAACACTCATTCAAGTGTTATCATTCATCAGATCTGATGCTACCTCTGCAATTTGTAGCCTGTTTGCAAATATACTTTTGGTTGCATTTAATTATGGAGTGCTCCTAGCTTCACAGTGACCACTGAGCCACAGCCAGAAGCAAAGGTGGAAAGATGGAGAACAAGGGCTACCACAAGCACAAAGTGGCCAGAGCCCTGCTATCACCACTGTATTTAAGCTTTAACAGTTCTGCTCATCCAGTTCTAGGTAGGGAAGATTCTCTTCTCCCCTTAGTAGGTCCATTTCTGAGCAGCAGATGATGCTGAGACCATCTCCACACCAGCACAATGGAACAGGTCCCGTCATTTACTGTTCATCTCTCAACCAAAAGAGATGCAAGGAAGAAGTCCTTGCAGAGAGGCCGTTTTGTTTGCAAACGGTGTAACCAGCCACTGTTTCTCTTTTGCACAGAAAGAGCCCAAATATAGACATTTGTACAGCCCTGCCTGGGCAGCAACCACATTAGGATACAGAGTGCTGCACCAGGAACAGACCAGACCAGCAGCGGTCACCAGTTCATTTAGGTCAGGCACTGGTTCA